ATAATCTACGCGCATTATATCACGACGAAATACCAAATTGTTTGATATTCCATATCGACACAGCGAATAAAAACTTACTTCGGCCATACACGCCAGCGGAAATACTGGAAATAACGTGCACACTCAATCAATTTTCTCATGACATGACAAAAGAAAACCGGCCACTTAGAAAACCACTGTGCATTTACTTAAAAGAATTTATTGACAGCACAGTAGATCCTACGGACATATTCTTGTATAAGCGACTAACCTTCCAATAATATAACCATAATTTTACTTTTCTATTTTTTTTCTTATTAATCTTAACTTTGGGTTATATATATATATACTAACATAGATAACATAATAATTTGTTTTTTTTAACGACTAAAATGAGTATATTTTACAGTAAGGTACCCGAATTCACAATAGTAGATTTCGAATTTGGCAGCTGCGGGCGAGAACGATTAATACTTATTTCAGGCGCCATCATGGGCCGATATCAACCAAATATTATAACGAAATTAGAGGGGCGTGCATTGTACTTGCAGGAGAATCGAGCCATAACAGACAACGAATGGAAGCAATTAGTTAGGCATTTTCAGCATATATTTAAAGATAAGCCCTCTTCTTTGTACCCGGTACTCGCTCAACTATACGACTCGGACCACACATTATCGCCGAACCTTACACAACCACAAATTAAAAAACAATTAGATCGATACGACGCTATACTAACCTGGGAGGGAAGCACCGACAATAAAATATTAGAACTGTTAAACATAAACCGACCCGTATTTTCATTACGTGGGTGTTACCTCCACATGGATGGTAATTTCGTACTTCTCCTTACCGATTACGGGAGTAACGAACCAATAGCGTCAATCCCAATAGGGAAACATATAAAAGGGGAACTGCACTCAAACTGGACGAAGCGCACACGCTATTATGTGAGGACTTGTACTATCACGGGGGACTTGAAGCTCATGACCCACGAGCGGACGTCCAATGGACACGGTGTCTCTTCTTACAAATGTACAAAGTGCATAAAAATGTAATTAATGACGCCGTGGGCGCAAAACAAAACAAAATTAAATCCGTAGAATTATATCGTAACTTAGCTTATTATTTATATTTTCATTAAATTTATATTTACTTTTTCTTTATTATTTTTTTTTTATTTTTATTACCGTCCAAATACAGGATGGATTACGATATTTTTATGACTTTATTTTATTTTACTATTATTATTATTATTATTCGGTACAAGGTTATCAATTAGTTTTTTTTTATATATATATCATTTATACATGGGAATGGGTTAATATTTAATAAATTAGATTTTAAAAATCAAAATAATTATAGGTAGGAATATATTAAATATTCATACTATAACTTGACTAATAAGCTGAAACAATTTCAGACTTGTTCTACTAATTATACCATTCACGTCGGGAACATTTCGATACAGCGACGAACAACTAACACAACACTCCGGTCTATACTACGAAAACCGGGGACCGTTAAAACGTTATACGTCTCAATGGGACCTTACTGCATATATTAACCTTGCTAAATACAAAGAAAGATTTATTTATATTGACGATGTTATGAACAAAACCGAAGTAATATGTGAAAGTATCAAAAATAATGTTAATACCAATTGTAACAATTTAATGCAAACAGCTAGTAGTATAGTAAACGATTTACGGAAAAAGAAGGAACTAGTATTAGACTCTATAGAAACTCAGTATCTAAAAGAAGTACATTAGGAAAGTTAACAAAAGCAGCCATATTAATATACGGAATATGTAATCTGGAATGCATTAGAAAATTTAATTTCAATATAGAACAAACGCATAACGCGCCGCAAACAAAATTAGTTAAAGAACAAATAAAAATAGTTAAGTTGCAAAACAAGTTTGATGAACACGAAAACTATAATATGACCTTTTTAATAAACGAAAATAGTAACGTGTCTAGGGACCAACAAACAAAAAATTATTTAACGAAACATTTTCTAATTATAAATTTATTAATAACGAAGCATATAGTAGAAACCAATACTTTATTAGAAATAATACATCAAGCGAAAATAGGAATTATCCATACCAGCTTAATATCTCCACGGGACCTTTTAGAACACATAAAAGACATTAAAGTATCATTACCTGGGGGCACCGACTTACCCACTGATCTAGATATACAAAATATCTATGAATTAGTAAAGCTCTCAGACCTAACTATATACTATGTTAATGACAACCTAGTTTTTATACTAACTTTACCGTTGATCTATCAAAATGATTTTATTTTATATAACTTAATACCTGTACCAGTATGCACTGGAAATGATTGTATTTATGTTAAACCTAGTAATAAGTATTTAGCTATAAGTAAAACTAAAGAGCACTATGCCATGTACGATGAATTTTACTATACACATTGTAAACACGCTAGAGATTTCCTTTTATGTCCTGAAGGTAATCCTTTATACCCATGTACGAGTAGACCAGCATGCGAAGTACAACTTCTACAGGATCCAATAAAAGTTCCATCAACTTGTGAGGTAATGCACGTTCAAATCGGAACATCCATATTCCATAAGAAACGTTTCAAAAACGAGTGGATATACGTAACAAATTATGATGTAGTATTTATTACATGCGACGAAGACAAAGAATCCACGAGTCATACACTTAAAGGAGTAGGCATTTTACGACTAAATTAAACTTGCAAAGGGTAAGCCGCCAGAGATGTACTCTTACCAGGAAAAGTCGACTACAAAGCAGAATACATGGACTTCAATCCGAAATCAACCTTGGATGTCAAAAATGTGCCGTATACCGATAGCAACAACTTGATGGAAAACTATCATGTCAAAACAAACAACATGCAGGACCTAAATACAGTGTCAGGTTCGAAAAAACAATTAGAAAAACAACGCAAAGTCGACAACAAAATCGACGAACTTAAAAGCACACAGGAACTAAATAATTACATACTTTATGTCATAACAAGTGTAATTTTTATGGCGGTAAGTATTTTTATTATAAATGTAATTAAATCAAAAACGAACTACACAAAAGTAACAGAGTCACCAGAGGAAATGGAACAGCATAATGCGAACCAAGAAGCGTCGCTAAGGAGCATCGACATAATCGAATTTCCACTCGCACCAAGAAACAGCCCTACTGGCTATCCACAACTTCGTACATTCTTGAATTAAGGAAGTCAGGGACTTCCATCTTCGAGGGGAGGAATGTAGTAAACCGACGAAGTCGCTTTCCTATAAATTAGATATTATAATAACATTTTTCACGATGTCACGCTCGACAACAACAAGACTAGGAATCTTTTGCAATACCTTGGGTTTGACAGCACAATTAAAACTTATATTTTTCAAACCTTGGATTTGACAGAGCAATTAAAAAACTAATCTAACGATCAATTTGCGAATCTTCGCTTTGCCAAAATAATGCGAAAACAAACTTATTAAATTGCCAATCAACCACTCGGGTCTTTTGGCAATAACAACATCTAGCCCCAGGCTCCTTTCAAATATCCATCTCCTAACGTCTTCGAACTCAAAAATATAAGCGTTAGTGAGGGATCACTACACTGTTGTATATGGACCATGCAAACCAAATATTTAATTTCCTCAAAATGAAAAACACAGAAAATTTTCCTCTGACTATTATTTCACAAAGTCTAAATCTGGTAATAAAATCCCTCGAACTTCGCTTTGTTATTCAATAATTTTAAATAAAATATATTGTGAGACATGTTGGCTTTTTGCTGACCGATCTTACAAACATTATAATTCAACATGGGTCTATGGAATTGATGATTGGCAACATGCTTCGCAAAAAATATATACTCATGATACTTCAGTTCAGCATATTGAAAATATTAAAATAAGATGCTTATGGGCAAAAAATCAAGTAATTGAAAAGGAATTGGAAAATCAAATTTCAGAAGAAGCTGCTTATTGGAGGAGTGTATTAGAGAGAGTAATCAGAATTATACTGCACTTAACTGCTGGAAATAATGCAATTCGTGGTAATGAAAAAAAATTTAGCGAGGACAACTCATTTAATGAAGGAAATTTTTTACAGACTGTTCGACTCATGTCAAATTATGATCATGTATTAAGTAAACTTATATCTTGGGAAGAAAGTAAAGTCAAGTACCTAAGTCATACTATTACTGATGAACTTATAATTATATTGTCAAACGATTTACTTAAAACAATTTGTGCTGAAATAAATGGATGCCAATGTTTTTCAATTATTACTGATTCGACCCAAGATATAACAAAATTGGATCAGTTAAGTATAATCATCCGTTATGTTGTTGTCAATTATGAAAGTAAGACGTTGGAAGTCAAAGAATCATTTGTTGGATTTTATATCTTAAAAAGTCACGTTGCAGTTGATTATGTAAACCTTACCCAATATGTTTTAATAAAACTTGGTGTAAATATTAACAAATGTCGAGGCCAGGGATATGATGGAGCTTCTGTGATGAGTGGAGCACATACGGGGGTGCAAACAAGGATAAAAAATATTGTTCCATCAGCTAAATATGTCCATTGCTGTAGCCACAATTTAAATCTAGTTATTTTTATTTTTTTTTTGAAACTTTTCAAAATGTGTCCAATTTTTTTGCCAGTAGTGCCCCAAGATGGGTTTTATTAGCCTTAGGTCAAAATTTTGGCGATAAAGTTAAAAAAAAAGTTTAAAAAAGGTATGCCCAACCAGAGGCTCGGCATGATGCTGTGTTTTCGCTCAAAGAACGTTTCCTTGATGTACTTAAATCTTTGACTTTTATGGCCCTTACCAGCAAGAAAACAACCGAACGAACCTTGGCATCTGGTTTGAAAAGTAAAATGGAAAATTTTGAATTTGTTTTAATCTTGTGTACCTGGGAACCTATATTACGATCATTAAGAGTAATTTCTAAAAAATTACAAAATGTAGATATGAACTTAGAAAAAAGCTTATATGTTAGCTTCTAAAATGCTAAACAATGCAGTTAATTTTATTCAAGAGACAAGAAATAGCTACGATGATAATGTACTTGATAATGCAAAATCGCTGTGTTCAAGATGGGGAATCCCCAATAAATTTGTAGAAAAAAGGGAATCGTATGCCAAAAAACATTTTTATGATAATTTAAATGGAGATAGGAGACTTAACACAACTGAAGATTATGATTATTATCCTATTGGACATCCGGATAAAATATCTGAACCAAAAGTATTTGACAAAAATTGGTTTGGCTTGATTAAATGCAAAGTATTACCTCCAAATAATCTTTACCATCCTGTACTACCTATAAAAGTAAAAATGGAAAAAAATGTAAAATTATTATTTCCATTATGTTATAAATGTGCTTCTGAACAAATTAAAAAATGTACTCATTCTGAAGGTGAAAGGCAATTTATAGGAACTTGGACTACAGATGAAATAAAATAAGCTCTGGAGAAAGGATACATTATAAAAAAAATTTATGAAGTATGGAATTTCAAAAAAAAATCATCAAACTTGTTTAAAAAATATGTAAATTATTTCATGAAAATAAAATTAGAAAGTTCTAAACATAAGTACAATTCTAATGAAGAGTAAATAAAAGCAATTTTTGATAAAATGGGCATTTTGTTAGATAAAGATAAAACGTGTTATAATCCAGGTAGAAGAGCTTTAGCTAAAATATGCTTATGTAGTCTATGGGGAAAATTTGGACAAAGACAAAATATGAAGAAAACTAAATTTATTACTGACTCTAAAAGTTTCTATAAAATACTATTAGATGAAAGATTAGAAAACATCAATATAACAATATTAAATGATAATATGTTACAAATGGCATACAACTTTAAAGATCAATATGTAGAAAATAATCATAACACCAATATTTTAATGGCTTTATTTACCACTTCAAGTGCAAGATTAAGACTTTATAAAATATTAGATAAACTAGGTAGAGCTGTAATTTATTTTGATACGGATTCTATTTTCTATATAGATAACGGTTATAATACAATTAAAACAGAAGAAATGCTAGGAGAATGGAATGATGAACTTGGTGAAGGTGTATATATAACAGACTGGGCTTCAACTGGTCCTAAAAGCTATTATTATAAAACAAATAAAAATAATTGTAAAACAGTAATAAAAGGATTTACTTTAAATTATCAAAATTTACAAAAACTTAATGGAGAATCAATGATTAAATTAATTGAAGAAAATAACAGAGAGAATAGTGTTGAATTAGAATACAATCAAATGGTACCAGACAAAATTAGTAAAAATATAATTAATAAAAAAACTAAAAAAAAATTCACATTCGATTATGACAAAAGAATAATATTATCAAATTATGACACAGTACCATATGGGTATAAATTAAGTTAAATATAACTATTTATATACATAATAATAAATTCTTCATGCTACTAATTATGTTTTTGAGTCTAAGTTTACTAGCTAGATCTGCAACAATTACCTTTTCAAACCGGACTTTCAATTCGACATCTACAAATATTGAGATTTCAATTCAGCATCTCACCTATACATTAAAACTGGAATTTAAATTCAACAATTACAAACTTGGAATTTCAATTCAACATCTACCAACTTGGAATTTCAGTTCAACATCTACAAACTTGGAATTTCAATTCAATATTTTTATTTTTATTTGTAAATATTTAAGTTGTAAACAAATGATACTTGAGTGATTTTTGTTGGAAAAACTGTTTCATATATCTGTATATATATGTAAAGACTTATAGAGCAATTTAGACGACTAAAAACGGCTACAGTATGCCCACGAATGAGTCAAAACTCAATAGTGGCTTGTATTTATAGCCTCGAAAAACATGATGCAATATTACACAATAATGACGTAATCTAAAGAAGAACCTTCTAGAATGTTCTATTTGACGTCAGAAAACTTGATATTACGAATTAATACCACTATCCTATAAACGGAATAGCTAATGGTGTGCTGTAATATACTTTTTCATATAATATATAAAGAAAAAAACACGAAAATACCTTGGTTGTTATTTGTTTACAATTTATTTATGATTGGCGGAAAATTTATATTTTTAATTTTTGAAATTTAAAGTATTTTTTTTGTAATATCTGTAATGTTTAAAATATTTATTGCAATAACTCTAAATATCTGTTATAATATATCTAAATTATTGTAATATCTATAAATAAATCTAAATATCTGTAATGCTTAAAATATTTATTGTAATATGTCTACATTTTTTGTAAATTTTCATTTCTGTAATATTTAACAGATTTTATATTGAAAATAAATTTTGGTAAGTGGGGTGAACGTACCTTGCTTACTACTGTAATATAAATATAAAAATGTAATGCTTAAGAACTATTTAACTATGTCCAGTGACGCGTTTAAACATTTTGCACCCCGGTACAAAAAAAAAATTGGCGCCCTTAAGAGGCCTAACCACTGGAAATATGGGAGATCTTAAATCGTTTTTCCTCAAAAAACAACACATATCCTGAATAGTTTTAGGTTAGCCCCATGTAATTCGTTGCAGTGTTGTAAAGTGTTTAAATGTCTTTTTTTTATAAGCCATTATCCTTATAATTATACAATTATGTATGTATCAGTAAGTATATTACCAAGATGGTTTTTGCATACTACCTAAACATCATTGTCCATTGTATATTAATATTTCATTGGATAATTACTAATAACGGTTACTTTTTAAACGATTATTGGATACTGTAAAATATGATAAGTAATGATAAAAACATTAATTTATAGCTTATAGAATTGTATATTTTTTAATTGAGTTTCAGCATGAATAGCGGATTTCAATGCATATGTTACAAAATTAATTTGATGACAAGAATAAATCATTTATCCATTCCAGCTGTCTACATTTACTGTTAAAGCATTATGATCTATGACAAGAAATCATCGGTGAATCTGTTATTAAACACAATACTGTTGTATCATTTTCACATTTTAGATTTAATACATAAGATTATAATTAAGAACCAAATTCTCTTAAATAATTCATACTGTAACCAAAAAATCTAAAAAATATATAAACACACTTATTTTTTACAGACATTTTAATTTCAAGTTTAGACAAAATTTCATATTTAAACCATGAATTACGATTTTAGTTATTTTGTTGTGATTGTATAATATTATTCGTGGGTACTTGAAATTTCTAAAGTAATCTACTATATATATCTATGATAGTCATAGTATCAGGGTTTGTTGTTGGTGTATAACGCGTTATAAGTACCTAATGGATATTGTGATATGATTAATTTGGAATTCATTATAGGTAGAGTAATGTACCTACTTATAGCGGGGTCGGCTTGTTTACCATTTCCTATTTCACGTATGCCACGTTATGTCTAGTTATCCGCTAGGGTCACCGACCATAAAAAGTTATTTTTATCCGTGATTTCAACTTGCCTTATTTTAATAATACGGTAATACATCACTGTTTACCTTGACCGCACCACCAACCCGCATCCCGTCGTCTATGATTTCTTAAATCGTGTTGTTCTATGGATATTGGATATACGCTCGTATGCGCTTTGTTCGCTACTACTTACGTCCCTAAATGGGACTTAAGAGGACGCCACACCGAAAGCGAAACGTATACAACAACCGAGAGAACGCGCTGTTAGGTGTTTTCGCGATCCGCAAGCACGCGACGCTTAAGCCGCGCCCACTACTCACGCTCGGCGGCTGGCCGACAATTTTGCTCATTCGGGAGCGATGTTTATTATAGTGATGGGCAAAACGGGTCATTTGAACGATTCGGGTCGTTCGGATCGGGTCATTCAAAAGACCCGTTCATGTGATTCGTTCATATCGTTCATATCGTTCACGCGTCCCGCGAACGAATTAACGAACGACTACCTGCCTTCCTACTACACAGTACTAGTGATGGTTAACAGTGACAAAATTTGGTCACCGTGACAATGGTGACAGCTACTTTAAAGTCACCGTGACTTTTAATGGTGACTGGTCACCATTTGTTTTGCGCAATATATATTTAAGTTACTCAGTGACCAATAACCATCATAGCTAGAGTAAAATCACGTCGCTATTTAGTTTGTCACCGCGACAACAGCCTGTTTCACACTACACTACTACAGTGACTACTGACTATATTATTACTCTATGCTACTGACTAGTGACCACACCGTGTCGTACTACTGTCGTGCGACTTTGTATTTTTAATGTAGATACCAAAATGCAATACCAATGATATGAATATGATAATAACTATTAACATAATATAATATTATAGTTATCACTTGACACTTATCCGTACATAAATGTAATCACGCGGCACGATGTGCCACACGGTCAAAAGTTGATATTCAATCACGGTCTAGAGATATTATATTCTGACCGCGTATTCAACTATGCAGTATCGTTTGGTAGCTATGGTAACTGTGATTATTATGTGAACCGTCCTCACTCCTCAGTAGGTTAATATCAACTATGGTCGGTCCTACCACGTATCACTGGTTATTGGTTATATAGGTCTAAAATAAGTGAAAAATAGTGGGCAAAGCCGGCCTGTATCGCAGTGCCGCAGTGGAAAAATGAATTGTTTCTAGCCTGATTGCTCACGCTCTCACTGGAAAAAGTTTTTCTCATTGTGTCTGCCGTATCAGCGTTGAATATTACGCTCGATGGTCGTTGTCGAAGGGACAACCCTTGCGTACATCAGGACGATTCTTGTGACTGTCCGGCACGGCTTCACTCTTGCGTACCATGTGGCAAATACCAATTTGCTACATTAATCGGCAAACGGAAAAAAGTATCCTACTGCTATTTGAATAAAACGATACTTCTACTCTCCTTGTTCTTTTATTTTATTACTAGTTATACTGTTGTAATTTTTTTATATTAATTTAACTTACTGGCTACCTTATAACTGTATAAGTAATAAATTATAACAGTATAAAAATATCCACACTGACAAACCTAAAAATATATGATATATCATTGAATTCAAATTTAATACCATCTATTATACAGTGACCCACTTGAAACCTACTGCACAGCAGAGCGACATCCACTTACCCAACTGTTTTTTATTGGAAAATGCATGTTATACTTGTGACTTAATACTATGATATTATAATAATTTATTTTATTATTTGTTTTTGGTTGTGTACCTGTGTTTTTTTTTTGCGGTCCCCACAGCCACAGGCTACATTTACGATACCTACATTGTTGGTACTTTTCTATCGAAATAAAAATAAAATATCATTATTACTTATATTTAGTGCTGTGTTATAAATAAACAATTGAATTCGGAAAATCGTCATAACCTGCATAACTTAATATTCAATTACATATTTTATAGGCATTAGCCACACATTTATACTAATTTAAATCAGTTATCATTCAAAGTGTTTTAGAACTTCATATAGTGTAGAAGTATCTATTTACTGAGTGATCTTGTTGTATTGTTAATAAGTTAAAAAGAACTTTTTCGTAATGAGTAATTCAAGAAAACTCAGAAGTGATATGTGGAGATATTTTACATATGTTGATGAGCATTATGCAAAATGTGACATATGTAAAACTAAAATTTCTCATAAGACAACTATGTCAAATTTAAAAAAGCACATTGAAAGAAAACATCCTTTAATAAATTTACAACCTGAAGTAGATGATGAAATAAACCAACCAAGTACTTCAAATAGTGCACAAGTAATTATAATTAAATTGTCATCACGCAAAAAGTGACCAAGTGAAAATGTTTATGGTTTTATTTTGGAATTAGTATGACTCCATAATTATTTAAATATTTCACTTTTTCGCTTTCTGCATTTTAGCAACTATATTATTATTTAAACATGTGAAAATTGGTCAAGTGAAATAATTAAATATTTATGGAGTAATACAAATTTAAAATTAATTATTTCACTTTGCCACTTTTTGTGTGACGACAATTAAGTATAAACTAATTTGCTTTATTTTAATTATGTTGACTACCGAAACTAGATTAACTTGTATTATCGTCTTATATTATGTTAGGCTACTACTCTAGGATTACAATCCAAGTCAACTGTAAGTCTACGTCAAGTAAATCCTTCTACATTAATTGTGGAAGAAAATGTTGACAACCCTTCCTCTGAAACCGTAGAGTCTTCAAATCATATAGTTAAAAAACGTAAAACAACAAATACTTTGCTAAATTATATACCAAGAAAAATGACCAATACATATCAAAGTCAGTTGGATGATAGTTTATTAAAATTAATATATTTAGATTGTCAGCCTTTTAGTTTAACTGAAAATAAAGGGTTTAAACAATTTGTTCATTTGTTAAACCCTGCTTATAAAATACCAAGTAGGCATAAGCTATCAAAAACCTCACTGCCTTTTGCTTATGAAAAGTTATTTAATGAAACCAAAATAAAAGTTCAGGAAGAAGCCTTATCGGTTTGCTTGACCACTGACTGCTGGACTTCTATAAACAATACTAGTTTTTTAGCTGTTACTGCTCATTATGTCGATCCGAATTTCAATTTAAAATCAGTATTACTTCAATGTGCTCCTTTTACTGAAAAACACACAAGTTTGAACTTAAGCATAATTATCCAATCAATTATTGAAGAATGGCAAATAAAGGATAAAATTGTACTTGTAGTGTCTGATAATGCTGCTAATATAAAGGGTGCAATAAGTTCACTAGAGTTGAAACATTTTGGGTGCTTTGCCCACAGCTTAAATTTGATTGTGCAAGAAGCATTGAAAACACAATCAAATTTAATAAATACTGTGAAGACGATTGTCGGGCATTTTAAGCGAAGTTCAAATGCTAACCACCAACTAATGCTTTACCAGGAGAACTCAGGGGCAACACCAAAAAAACTACTGCAAGATGTAGCCACACGTTGGAATTCCACATTTCATATGTTGAATCGGTTTGTTGAATTGGAAACCACTGTCAAGGCAACTCTAGCAATATTAGATGCAGATTTACATATACTTTCATCTGAAGAATGGAAGATATGTAAAGAGTTGTGCCTTATACTCAAACCATTTGATGAAGTCACAAAATTAGTAAGTGGAGAGAACTATATGTGTGCTTCTATGGTCATTGTTTTGAGCAAAGGATTAGCTGATGTATGCGAAAAATTGAAAAATAAGCCTTTTGATTCTTCAGTGATGGGAACTATTAAAGTTCTACAAGATGGCATCAATTATCGATTCTCTGATTTAGAAATGAGCAATACCTTAAGAATGGCAACGTTCTTGGATCCAAAATTCAAACATTATGCTTTAACCAAATCGCTAGGAGATCAAACAAAAACAAAAGTAATAAACGCAGTTGCACAACATATAAGAAATACCTCAAATAATACTGAAATATTACCTGCAGTTCCAGTTGAAGAAAGAGATGAATGTTGTATTTGGAATAATTTTGATTCAATGACTTCAGCAATAACACCTCAGGGAACAAATACGTCAAAAGCGATCATTGAAGTAAATAGGTACATTGATGACAACATATTACCACGAACAAGTGATTCGTTTAGTTGGTGGAGGGATAATAGTTACAATTACCCTAATTTAAGTACAATTGTTAGAGAAAAATGTTGCGTAGTAGGATCATCTGTTCCTTGTGAACGAGTGTTCTCAAAAGCAGGTTTTGTCATTAGTGAACGCCGTAATCGTCTTAAACCCAATAAAGTGAACCAAATTTTATTTTTGAATCACAATTATAAGTTGTTTGAAATGTGAAGTATTAGTTATTATTAGTATAAAATAAAAAGTAATTTTATTGATTTTAAATATTTTATAATTATTATTATACTAGGTAATACTAGTATATAGGTACCAGTTTTGTTTTGTTTTGTTTTTTTAATTTGTACCTATTATTATTAAATAAAGAAGTATAAAGTTTTATTGATTTTTTTTTTTTTTTATTTATTATAATTTAAATGTTTCAACACATTGCATGTTTTTACAAGTTTGTTATTTAAATTAATACAATTTAGAATTTAATTAGAATATGGTATGGATGATCAGTAAATTTGATACGTGTGTTAATTAAGGAGTGGAAGTGATGAGGAGTGGAAATTTATTTATTAGGGATGTTAGAGCAGCTAGGAGGGGGTTTAGTATTAATTTTAAATATAGTTTTACAAAAATAATAAATGTATATATGTATTATTAATTAATTAATATGCAGACTGTTTTTAAAAATGTTTTACAATAGCATACATTTTTATGAAATAGGTACCTGATGTAATGATGTAATATTCACATGCAATCATTACATAATTTACATAACTGTTGTCTGTTGAATAAGCTTAAAGTTAATAATATTTAAGACTTATGTGAGTAAGTTAAGTTATTAAAATCATGAAATACAAAACATAGATAATATAAATATTAAATAATATGATCTATGAACAAGACAAAGGATGTTATCTATTTTAATTTTTGTATTTGAACATAACCTAACAAAATCGCCACTTGCGGGAGTGATAAACTGCCTTCTCTCTCGCCTGTCGCTTGTTATAAAACAACAGCGCCAGCGCCCTGTTTCACACTAATCTAACACCAGTGCCAACCTCTAAAAACACTAGTCACTAGTCACTGTAGTCAAGTAGTCACTGAGTCACGTCTAGTCACCAAAGTCGCTGGTCACCATTAATTTTGGCAATTGTCGCAGTGACTAACAGCGACACTGTTGTCGCGGTGACAAAGTAACGGCGACGTGATTTTGCGCCCATCACTACACAGTACACATGATTCGCAAAACGGGTCATTTGAACGATCCGATAGTATTACTGCATACATCATCTATTATGATTATCCGTCATTTTGAATACATCAAAATGTAAAATACATGCCAAAATCCCACCAAAATTTGAATTCTTCTTTAAAATATATTTATTTATTATTGTCTTTATTATAGTATATTATACATTAAGTTAATGATTTAAAAATGTTTAACAATAAAGGATTTATTTGATATTTATATAAATTTGTTATTTGTAAATTTGTACACCCAAACTTGATGCTATTAAGATAAGAGATTTATGACATATTTTCTAAATCTGTTAAATATGTTACTTACTTTATTAAAGTATAGTACCGTAGTACTATAGTCCATGAAAAATATAAGAATATAATAACTGTTGCAAAACTGGAATTTTATATTTTCCCAATAATACTTATATTTTAATCTCACTAGTACTCAACAAATTATTTGCCTGTCTTCAATGTGAGTACTGAGTTGTGACTTTTTCAGTGAATGTGTGGTGATTCTTAATTCTAATTTCTTAATAATTCTTAATTCTAATAAATAATAATAGTAATTGTACAAACATTATTATTATTATAATTAATTACAATGTCTACGCAAAATCCATTGATTTTAAAAAAGCGCAGTAATATATGGAATCACTTTACACTTACACCAGATAATATGGCAAAATGCAATTATTGTAGTAAAAAAATAAGTATTGCTGGTGGTTCTACTGGTAATCTTATAAGGCACATGAGGACCAAACATATATCAGTTCCACTACAAAGATCAAATCAGGTAAATATTTTATAACAATCATAAAAAAATAAAATATAATAAAAAAATAATTATGGTTATAGTTATAGTAAATACTAAATAGCTATAGCTTATTAGATGGTAAATATGGTAAAGTATTTGGTTGTTTTCATTTTTGTGAATTTAAATATCTAAATTTATTACCTAGATACAAGAATTAAACGCTGAGGTTGTAGATGATCCCCAACCTTCAACATCTGTTCAGCCAGTTCCAGTAAAATCTACTTCATCAGTATTAAAAGCTCCAATCCCCAATCAGTTGCCAATGACACATTTTATCCAATCACAACGTCCTCTGGCTTTAAGTAAGTCTAAAGCAATTGATCAACAGCTTATAAAGATGATTGTGAAAGAATATCACCCATTCAGTATAGTTGAAGACAGTGAATTTAGAAAACTGATTAATATGTTGTCACCCACGTATATTATTCCTTCGAGGAAGACTGTTTCAAATAGCTTACTACCCCAAATGTACGAATCGGTAGTTCAAAAGGTTAGGACTCAGTTACAAAATGTATCCGCTGTATGTTTAACCTGCGATGGTTGGACATCGAGAAACAATCAAAGTTTTTTTGCAGTAACCGCACATTTTATAGATCCTGAAAATGATATTAAATTAGAAAGTGTTTTGTTAGGTTGCAGAAGTTTTCCACTGAGTCATACCGCTGATAACATTTCTGAATTTATGAAAGATACTGTGGCGGAGTGGCGATTGTGTGATAGAATATCTGCAGTAGTGACTGATAATGCATCAAATATGAATAATATATAATAATATACGTATATAATAAACTTTATTATTTTATCAACCTTCGTCTGTGGCGGATCACATAAATATAAAATGCGTACACGTATATTATACCGCATTACCGCCGTAATATTTTTAATATTCGAGCGTACCTTTACGCGGCTTATATTTATTGCATTATTAAATACTTACTTCGTAAAGAATGTATTCAATACAGTAAATAATATTATCTAATATATAACTGTAACCTAAACTAGTATTACCTAAATATCTAAATACATTTTGTTTTTTATCACGGGGACTTTGTCATCTCCTTTTTAAAAATATTAAATATAAACATGGTAATGTACTCTACAGAAAATAAATTTCAAAAATGAAAAATGTTTATTTAAAGAACAATATTCCGATTCCGATTGATTAACGTGTTCATGTTTTCTTTTGAGATTATTGTAGGGTTCAATGTACTTAGAACTTCCAGGCACACTAGTAAAAAATGTTATTATTTTATTTTATTTTTATTTTTGACTTTAAGCGTTTATGGAAAAAGAATAAATACTTAAATTTTAATACTATCATTAATATTTTTCAAAAGTATATTAAATTACTATACTCTGTTCAAAATAAGATCGTGACTCGGCGGCGACCAGTTTTCGTCGGGCGGCGGTCAGACATATGGCCAGATGCCGTCCCCACTACAGCGACGCGTCGGACGCAGCCACGGAACAAAGCCACGCCCATGCGCACAACTCGGCCGCCGGGTCTCGGTCTTATTTTGAACAGAGTATATACATTTTAATAATTAATCTGTGTGAAATAGTACAAGTAATTTTAGTATATACCTAATTTAGAAAAAACAATTAATAATTTTGATTAAGGGGGCCTTGACAGTTTTACATTAAATTTAGGGAGCCTCACGACAAAAAAAATTGAGAAATACTGTACTAGATTATAGTGTAAAATATCTAAATATAATAAATATAACTAGCTGTCCCGGTAAAAGATCATGTTTTTAATGTTGCATTTCAATTTGAAAACTACATATACATTTTTCACTGTTTATTTTTCTAACATAATTTATATTTATTGAAGAAATATATAAACAAATTTTTTGACAAAGGTTGGTTGCTCAATACACAGTCAAATATTAACCAAATATATCATAACGCATTATGTCAAAACAAGAATGATATTCACTTACAAAAGAAAAAAATAAGCAAGGTGCTAAAAACAAGAAAACACCAAAAAAACTAAACAATTTTTCAAAATTAGTTTGAAGTTTATAAGATAACTATTATTGAATAATATTATAATATAAATAATATACCTAATGTAACGTGCCCTACAGCGTTACTTGTGGATTTGGAAGCAATAATTGAACAAAACCTCTTTTGATAGTATTTATTGTGTTTATTATATAAAACAGTTTTATAGAAATTATTCTAAGTCCAAATAATTAACTAAAAGCGAGTTGTGACTATGAGTATTTAGTGTGACTGTTGAAGTTGAGGTTGGTTGTTCGTCTGATGGACGCTTGTCCATCAGCTCTCCTCGATGGATCTCTGTCCCTTGCCACTTCCATACTTTCTAAAACCATACATGGTCTTGCGGTTAAGCCTATTGTGATTTTCACACGCTTGCACGCGCCGGAAGTCCACATATATCTATATAGCACATTTGTGGTGTTATTCAACAATAATTAATAAATAATTAATAACAGCACAAATCTAACGAATTATTTAGGATTATCCATATACGTAGTCATATATCTATTGTCGCACGCAGCTCATGGTCACGCGCTCGATATTACTATTATTGATATTATATTATTACTATTTGAAGAAGTGCTCGTGTATAATATTTAAATATACGCGGTGCGAACATATATTGATTACGTATGCATTGAATGTGTTTAACCCATATGGCTAAATAGTCACAGCTCGCTACACTAATCATAAAATAAAATATGCAAAATATTTTAAACATGTTTTTGGTTTTTTATGAGCACTAGAAAATAATACTCCACTCTACCAGACTTACTATTAGAATTAGTAGGTAGAATCATAATAGTTTTAATTTAATTTAAAGATTTTAAGAAGGATGCAAATATCCAAAGAAGTGACAAATTATACATAATATTTTTTCCAGAGTGACGGCAACTTATCAATACACCTTGTATGTTTGATTTAAATTTTATCTGGTTATCATAATACAGTTCTTAACAGATAATGCTTGTAATCGTTGTATAATGCATGTTGATATAAAATTGAAAATAAATATATTTGTTTATTTTTTCCCTTCTTAAAAATTTTTTTTTAGAAAATTGCTCCTGTGAATTATATTATGTATAAACAAGAACGCACAAAAGTGCATCGGTTAGTATGGTAATGGGAGGGGTTCAAACCCCACGCCCCCCCCCTTGAG